ATACCCCTTAATGAAGGATTTATGGGTTTATTTAGGGTTCCTCGAAGGGTTCCGAGGAAAAGGTTTAGGGTTGAGGGTTGAGGTTTCTAGAATCTTAGGGTACCCAGAGAGCCCAATATCCCTTAATTCTGGAAGATTCTAAACCCTAAACCCTAAACCCTAAACATTCTCCGGATCTTTGATCTGCTCCTTAAATGAAAGGGTATCGGGATCTTTGGGTAGTTCCAGGGTTTAGGATTTATCAAAGGAGTGCAACTTGGACTCCTAACAATGTATCCCAGGTCCACTTAGAGGATCCCAAACCCGAGGGTACAACCTGAGGGGTCCGAGGTAGAGTCCAAGTTTAGGGTTTAAGTTACACGATCCCTTAATACGGGCCCTTAAAAAGGCAAGGGGCCATACTGCGGGACCATGTAAGAGACTAAGGAGTTAAGGGTTCTGGTTTCTCTAAGCCCAAATATAGCGCACATAGAGGGCTTACCGATATATCGGACGAACCTTCAGACCCTGAAAAAAGGGAACATGCCTGTCTTTCTTGCCTTAGAACCCTAAACCCTAGACCCTAGACACCGCCCAAGCCAGCGCCACAGTGAAAACCTTACCACGAAACCTGTACGTTCCGAACCATGTACCAAGGAGCCCTTTTATAGCCCTTACTGAAGGATTTAGGGCCTCGGGGAATTTACCTTACATGCAATAGGGATCCTCAATATGATTTAAGGTGTCATATTCCTTCTTGACGGGGTGTATGGGCTCTTTGGGAATCCGACCAAACCCCGACCAGCCAACATAGGCGCTTCGTGCCCGAGCAACTGCAGGTTCGGGCGGAGGGCCAAGGGGGGGTTAGCGGATTTAGGGGTTTATTGGATTTAGGGTCTATAGGGTTTAGGGTAGGGATTAGGGTTTAGAGGCCCAGGGGCGGGGGGTTCGGCGAGTTGAGGTTTGATGAAGGCTTCGTGTGTAGTTCTATCGGCCCATATCGGGCTTAGGATGACGCAGGCCAGGCGGTTCGTTTCAGCTTGTTTCTTGGGTTGTTCGTGTGTCTCTGTCTGTGTTTTTGTGTGTGCGTGAGTGCGTGAGAGCGCGCATGCGTGTGTGCATGTGCGTGTGCGAGCAAACGCAAATCCTAACTCTAGGGTGGCTAGGCGGTGGCATCGTTACAGGGGACTCGCCTGAAGGGGTCGAACCTCAGTTGCCACCCTCGTTGAGGAAACCGTTGCAGTGGTCAAACTGTGCAAAGCAAGACAGGTCTTGGTTTGTGATGTGCATAAAGGATCTAACCCTCAGCCCTAAACCCTAAACGAATCTATTCCATTGCGTTGCTTCATGTGGTCCGTGCAAAGCTCTCAGAACTGATTTCTAGCAGGGTGCCCACACCACAAGTTCAAGTTGAAGTTCCCACCCCTACGTAGGTCTGGCCATGCGGGCGAATCTGTGGTCAGAGTATGTGGTCCAGCCCCTCACGTGCTCATCCTCAGCCTCAAACATTGCAATGATTTTGGGAGCACAGGACCTCTCATCCACGCAGCTTCGTGCCCTCTTGGCATCTGAAGGCAAAGGATGCAGAATTTCATGTGATCATGCGAAGTCTGCACTGAGCACATTGCCGAACTGCACCTTCCTACTCCTAATATAGGTGTCGAACAATTCCTACGAGTATTCCCTTATGGTCCCTTTATTTTTGACAATTAATGACCCCCTGCAGCGCTGCCTCTGGATAGCACCAGATTACGCCAAAAGCCTGATCCAATGAACCCTAAACCCTAAACCCTAAACCCTAAACCCTAAACCCTAAACCCTAAACCCTAAACCCTAAACCCTAAACCCTAAACCCTAAACCTGCCCCTGACACCGCGCAGCTCACAGTCCCTATAACGAACCCAAAAGGGAACTACATTGGAGCCTTTGGCTAAGGGCTACAGTAAGTTTCCCAGCTTGAAATGCCCGACCTGAACCCGCAAAATGCCACAAAGTGTCGTCGGCAGCCAGGTGTATTCCTTCTCCACGCGCGAACGAAATCCGAACTTCGCTCTCTGGCATCAAGAGATTCAAAGGTTCTGAGGGGAGGCCGGGTTCATGGGGGATAGGTACCTTCACAGTTTAGGAGCACCACATTCCGTAATTCTTCGGAAACCTCTGGCCCTTGTGCGCGGGCGCAGGGTGCTTTAGGGTGGGTTTGGGTGCTGTAGCCTAAACCCGAAACCCTAAACTCTACATCCCCTAAACGATTTTGGACTTTTCGGCTTCAGCATCCCGGGTTTAGGGTTTGGGGTTTGGGGTTTAGGGCTTAGGGGGTTTAGACACTAAGGTGTCGCGGCTCTGGACTTGCTGATTCCACGTGAGCTGCGGCGCCTGCTGAAGGCAGCGATACCTGGACCCCGAATCGTCGTTCCCTTATCTTAGTACCCAGTACTAATGATATTCATAGGAATAATAATAGCTGTAGTCATATTTATGTTTACAGATAATCATAATAATAACACCAATAGCAATTACATTTGCAAAAAAGAACAAATAATAATAATCAGAATAACATATTCATGATAATAATATTAATAGAAATAAAAGAGGCATAAGCAACCCATGAAATTTTGGGTGCCCGAGCTACAAATGGTGGGTCAGGTTAGTGCTGGGCTTTCTTGCAGATCGGCGGGCGCCGGACCCTTGAAGGGATTCATGCCCTAAACCCTAAACCTTTGAAGGGTTTCAGGTTTTTGCTGCCAGCTTCCTGGGGCCTTAAAGTGAAGGCAGACGCGTGTGCCTGGGAAGTGCAGGTGCAGACCGTGCTTGGAGGTTCATGGTACTTATTAGCCAATTAGAACTGTACTTCTAACCATGTTAGGGCACTTAAGGGGCTGATAAGTGGGTTACAAGTACCGTTATAACTGGTTAAGAAGTACCCTACACGTCCAAGTAGACTAGGCCCTTTTTCGATTTTTTTTTTTTTTTTTGGGGTGGGGGGGGCGGGGGGTTAGGTTCCCTCCTAAGCCGCTGTAAACCACAAGGGTGCCCTTGATCTTCCTGGGTGACACCAGCATGGGTCTGGAAGCTCTTGGGGTAATTTCGTGGGCCCTTAAAAGGGGACCCCTTCTATACCCCATAAAACCCAAGGGCCCTTACTCCAGAACCCTGTAAAGAAGGTAAAGGGCCATACTAAGGGACCATGAAACGACCCTCAGGGTACAGAACTCGACATCTCAAGGCTAAAGCGCTCAATCCCTAGAGAAGCTCCAAACATGTGGGATGTTCCCCCCTTGTACTACCAGTACCTCGGCTCAGGGTCTTAGGGTTTAGGGTTTAGGGCTTAGGGTTTAGGGTTTAGGGTTTAGGGTTTACCCTATGCCTTGGGATGTTCTGCCCTTATACTACCAGTCCCGAATAGTGATTCTAGTTGGGGGGACAAACATCGCTGTTAAGGACTGTTACTTGAAGGTTCATGGTACTTACTAACCAATTATAACTGTACTTATAACCCTACTTATAATACCCCTAAAGGGCCTTATAGGGGTTATCCCAATTATGAGTAGGGTTATAAGCCCAGTTATAATTGGTTAGTAAGTGCCATGAACCTTCAAGTAGGGACTAGATTACGGGGTACTAGAATCCCTACTAAGGAGGGGCCCCCCTTACTATACTAACCATAGTTAAGGGACGTAGAGCCGAACTTAGGATCCTCATAACCTAGTTTAGGGTCCTTATAACTCTGCTTATAACTAGGGGGGCCCCTCCTTGTATTAAGGACTGTTAGTACCCAAAGAGCCCAATACCCCTGAATGAAGATATATTCCTTAAATCATATTAAGGATCCCTTTAGAATTTAGGGTATGTTCCTTAATTCAGGAGTATTGGGCTCTCTGGGCCTAAGCCCTATAAAGCCTAAACCCTAAACCCTCAAACCTAAACCCTAAACCACTTGGCTACCAAGAGGGGAACATCCCTAAACCCTAAACCCCAAACCCTTAAACCCTAAACCCTGAACCCTAAACCCTAAACCCTAAACCCTAACTTTCAGCTCCCAGGCTGCCGGCGCTGCGGGGCATGGCAGTGCGGAGGAGCTTCGACAGCGCGCCAGCGCCATGTGCTCCGTCCGCTTAGGGTCTAGGGTTTAGGGTTTAGGGTTTAGGGTTTAGGGTGTAGGGTTTAGGGTTTAGGGTTTAGGAGAGAGAGGGATTAGGGTTTAGGGCTGAAGATGTGGCGGTTTCCTATTTTGGGGTACCCCATTAAGGTCCTTTTCATCAGTGTCAGGGAATCCTACAATTTTGGGTCTATTTTCGGGGTTCTCTGTTTTCGTAAGCCCCCATATGGCACCACCTGACTAGTCAGTTGGGGCTTCAGGGACAGGGATGAGTGAGGTTGGAGTCTGAACCCCAAGTCCTTTTCAATCCTTTGCAAAGTTTCCCTTCCAACCCCGACCCCAAACCCGGAAATCCGTTTAGCTAGGGTCTAGGGTCTAGGGTCTAGGGTTTAATTACTCCGCATCTTGACGTGGTGCTTCTTTGGTTTAAGGTTTAGGGAAAGTGTAGGGTTTAGGGTTTAGGGTTTCGGGTGGAGGGTTTCGGTTCTCATGATAAAACAGTGTCTTGCTCCGAAAAAGCCCAGCCCCACACCACCCCAACTCAGGCGTTCTCGGGACTTTGCAGCTTTGGATTTCAGGGCCGAGGTGTTGATGTAGACCTTATAAATAGTCACTAGAAAAGGGTCCTCGCTAGGTACTAAGGTATGTGGCTTTAAGAACAACATCCTCCGGAGTGACAGGGGAAAAGCGCACACCGTGGTCACTGCATGAACAAACAGCATTAGGCACGTTCTGAGCCCATTCTCGCTTGTTGACCTCCGCTGTTTCAAGCAGAATGATTAGATGCTTGTATTTACACAAGCATGTGGGAGCACGGACCATGGTCAAGACTTTTCATCCTTCTTCCGTGACACTGTGCATACTGACGAAAAATCTAGAAGGCCTCTAAGCAGCAGTACTCCGTGGCGAGGTTCACCTTTGCAGCATGTCGGGCCAGAAGGCGGCGTTTCCATTCGGCAGACTTACAGGACTGGAGGAAGGAGTGGCAGCAAGAGCCGTCGCCGGTGGAGAGACCACGGCGAAGGCACCGCGCCCACGGAGCGCGGGACCCGGGAGTCGGCGCTGGCGCGGCACGCCTCGTGTGCCTCGGACCTTTGAGTCGGTGCAAAGCTCCGGTGAGAGCTCCAGACTTCTGGGCCCCAAGCACGCCTCCTTTAAGGAGAAAGCCAAGCAGTTGTTGGAGCAGGACAAGAGCGAGCGACAGAAGGAGCTAGAGCAAGAAGCGGACGGCTTGCTCAGGCGACGAATCAACGAGGAGCGGATGCGACGGCCCAATTTCATGACCTCAACCCGGGCGAAGCCGAAGACATTTTCGGAGTTTCCTCTCCTCGGCACCTCTGAATCGGCAATCACCTGGTGCCTTAGTCATAGTTGGGTACCATTTTACATTTTTAAGGGTACTTAAACCCAATAAGAAAACAAATTCAATTTTTTAATAGTTTCCCAACCATGAACTAGGTACATGCAGCACGGGACCGCAATGGACGGCCACTAGCAGCGCTTATTTGGGATGTGCTATGCTGCCGAGGCCTTGCACAAAGCCCTCACACGACGGCCAGTTGCTGGTCGAAACTTTTCAAAGAGCTTTTAACACGACAACTCTTTTTTCACAGCAAGTTTACACCTGATGGTGAACTTGGAGTAGGTGCCCTAGCTGCACGTTTGATACACAGGTTTGGTTGCCATGCCCTAAACTCTAGACCCTATAAACCCTGTAAACCCTATACACCCTATACACCCTAACCCTAGACGGGTGGCAAAGAAAACCCTACACTCTAAACCCTAAGCTGTGTCCTAGACACAGTCGGGAGAGAAGCAGACGGACTGAACGGCGGCTGTTTGATGGCCTGGGGCTACAATCAATACGAAGAGTTTCGTTTCAGTGCACCCTTTTTTCTTCTTGTGACGGATCGCCGCCCCAGTTCAGCGCCACAGTTTCACTCTGAGTCATGTACAGTCAGGATCATTCAGGTACATCCAGACAGACTTCGGGACATTTGCCTTGCCAGCCGTGCGAGTGTGAGAGTCGAAGCCCTAAACATCCTGTGACTCGAAGTCCCAAAACCCCGAGGCCCTAACCCTCAACCCCCCCCCCCCCCCCCCCAGGGCCTGCAACCAGGTTTTGGGTTCTGAAGGTAGCACCCCACTCCCCAAACCCCAAACCCTAAACCCCAAACCCTAAACCCCAAATCCTAAACCCCAAACCCCAAACCTTAAACCCTAAACCCCAATAAGCCCTCAACCGCATCTCCAGCCACAGGCTTGCTGCTCTGGAGGACCTCTGGGGCTTCCTTGTCTTTCCTAGGTAGGATAAGGGGGACCCTGCAAAGGGAACCCTCTTCTGGCTCTCTTAAACAGGGACCTTATTCAGAGGGTCTATATCCCCAGGGGTCTCCCTAATCCTATCCCCTTGTCTTACGATTTCCTACCATCTGCTTAAGAACCACCCTCACAACAACACATTTTGTTTAGGGTTTAGGGTTTAGGGTTTAGGGTGTAGGATATATATATATATATATGTATATATATATATATATAGAGATCGATATTGATTCTTACTTAGACGGGCAATATATGGATCATTCTCTCTCTATGTTTTCGTTCAAAAACTCAATAAGTTGCTTGTGGGGTTCCTGAGCAAGTAGTAGTTTCTGTTCCGATGTGACCGAGGGGTTTAAAATTCATGCTCGGTGCAGGAGAGTTCAAGGAATTTTCCCATAACGGACTAGGTGTCCAAGGAAGTGCAATACGAGGTCCAGTTTTTCACGTATATATATATATACATATACCTATTGATTTATTGATTTACCCATAGTTCGTTATAAGTACATAAGTTCATATATGCATGACTAGATGTGTATGTATTAGATGGGCCTCGATCATGGACAAGTTGACGAGGGCCAGGCCTTGAGGGAATTTGGAGGGCTTCAGGGTTTGCCCTAAACGGGCCCGCCCCCCCCCCCCCCCCCCCCCCCCCCACACCCTCGGGGTTTAGGGTTTGGGGTTTAGGGTTTAGGGTTTCAGGTTTAGGGTAGACTCCACGGTAGAATTAGCATGCTCAGCTCATCTCAACGGTTGGGTGTGCTTTCGTTTTCACCTCGCTCGCTTGGACACTGCAAAGGGTTTAGGGATTGGGGTTTACGAAACCCTAAAACCGTCAACCCTGTCGCATTGGTGGGCCCAAAAACCCTAACCCGCACACTTCCAGATACTCATATGTTATCTTGCAGGCCCTATAGGCTACGAACTAGGTAATTCTTGTAGAATTTCGGGCAGACCGGGTCATTTACCTTCGGAGGATGCTGATGAGGAACTGACGGGATCTGGCCGGGATCCAGTCATGTGTGGGTTGCCTGGGGGCGGGGGGATTTCGCACAGTTTGTTGAAGTAAAACATCTCCCCCGATGTCTTCCCTTTCCTAGTGGTAGGGTAGGTAAACCTTTAACTTTTTTGGGGTAGTATAATCCCCTCATAATCCCAAAGGTTAACCTTTAATTTCCCCCAGGTTACTGGACAACTAAGCTTTACAAGCATATATAGAAGCTCCCCAGGATTTCTTATTCTGATTGACTCAAGAGGCTCCTTTATCAGGGTTTCAGGGTCTTCCAGGGTGTTCTGTGATATGGTGACCTGATGAGTGGCACACGAGGGACGGAGGCTGTTGGGGCAGGAAGAGCCTTCCGGCCTATTAGTTGAAGCCTGTGGTCTTTCGGTTCCGGGGATGTTCAGGGGTTCCCCAAGGTGTTGGTGATGTTCAGGGCTTAGGGCTTAGGGCTTAGGGCTTAGGGCTTAGGGCTTAGGGCTTAGGGCTTAGGGCTTAGGGCTTAGGGCTTAGGGCTTAGGGTTATATGTGGATTCAGGTTGAGAAGCTGATGTTGCATAGACTCCGCTGAGTTTTTCGAGACGCTAACCTGTAGGCCCACTCGCAGAGACTCCAGTAATTCTCCCGTACAAGAAGGTTCCTCCCTTAATAGACTCCTCATCTGGCCCTTATGTTCCCTTGATATATATATATATATATATAAACCCTAAACCCTAAACCCTAGGATTTTTTCCACGGGTCCCCAAACCCAAGGGTACAACCTCGGGGGTCCGAGGTAGAGCTCCGCTGAGCTCCCCTTAGAAAAAGGCCCAGGGCCATCTAATTTAGGGTTTCGGGTTTAGGGTTTAGGGTTTAGGGTTTAGGAAATATACCTTAATCTGTATAGGGATCCTTTATACGCTGTAAGCTATATTCCTGAGCTAAGTGGTACTGGGCTTTTTGAGACGGGTATAGCATTGGGTCCGGGCGAGAGTCCTACACACCCCTTGATTAAGGAATGTGCCTTAAATCATGATCCCCATTTCCAAAGGGCCCAAAACCCCTTAATCAACGAATATACCTTAGCAGGTTAAAGATCTCGATATAATGTAAGGTGTATTCCTTCAATACAGTCAGCGTATGTTATTTCGCTTTCTTCAATATATTTCCAACGATAGAATGCACGTTTTCATTAATACTGATGACACCTATCGTCAAACAAGTGAATGTAAAGGAATATGATTTCAAACAATCAAAATACGATGTAGCCCCCTTCTGCTTACAGTACTCACTAGGGGTTGTAAGTGGGGGTACTAGAATCCCACCCTAAACCCTAAACCCCAAACCCTAAACCCCCTAGGCCCCTTATTAAGGACTGGTACAAAAGGGGAACATCCTAATTGAGCTCTAGGCCCAGCACCGACGCCGGGTGCACAGCGTTGTGACATGGGCTGTGGGTGCCCTTGCCGAGGGTCGTTTTTAGGGTTTTGGGGTTTTCTAGGGCTAGAGGGTTTAGGGTGGAGGGGTCTGTTTTACAGGCTCGGTTTTTAGGGTTTTCAGTTTTCATGGGGGGGGGGGACCCACCCTAAACCCTTTTAGGGTTTAGGGGTCTGTTTTTACGGGTTTAGGATTCAGGGTTTGTTTGTAGGGTCCTGCTTTTATAGGGCTTAGGGTTGAGGGTTTGGCAGTTAGGGTTTAGGATTTGGGATTAGGGTTTAGGGTTCAGGGTTCAGGGTTTGCCTACAGGCTCAGAAAGTATGCCTTTGAGGGTACAATACTAGAATCGTTTTGATGGATTTTGGCTTAGCCTCTACGCAGAAAGCTTGTCGCGGAACAACGGCACCACAGGCCTGAAAGGGTTTTGAAGGCGCGAAGGTACTCTTGGGAAGGGGCTGCTGATGGCTGAGTTGAGTGTCCAAGGCTTAACCCTTGCATAGCAGATGCATCTTGATGCGTTGAGACCCTGGACTTGTAAACGAGTTCACTTTGACTCCAGGGTCAACCTCAACCCTGCTGCCCAAACCGCCAAGGAAAACCAATCGGGAAACTTGTATACTCGTACGTACCTTAAAATGTCATGGCTATAGGCCCCAAACCCTCAACCCCAATCTAAGGGTAGTTATATCGGCGCTTAAGAACACCGTAAACCCTGAACCCTGAACCCTAAACCCCAAACCCTAAACCCTAAACCCCAAACCCTAAACCCTAATCCCTAAACCCTCAACCCTAAACCCTAAACCCGAAGAGGCGCCTGGCTGCCGGCAGCTGCAGCAACCGCCGCTGCCGCCCCTGCTGCCTCGGAGACCTGCGCGGTCTGGAGTGTCGCCGCCTGCTTGCGGCTGATTAGGGTTTAGGGTTTAGGGTTTAGGGTTTAGGGTTTGGGGTTTGGGGTTTGGGGTTTAGGGCTTCGAGCTTAGGGTTTAGGGTTTAGGGTTTAGGGTCCAGGGTTTGGGGTTTGGGGTTTTGGGGTTTGGGGCTGGGGGTTTGGGGTTTGGGGCTTGGGGTTTAGGGTTTAGGGTTTAAGGTTTGGGGCTTAGGGTTTAGGGTTCAGCCCAGACTAGGCCCCTTATTCCCTTTTTTGGGGGGCTCCCCTTTTTTCCTAGGTTACTCTTGGGTCTAGTTTCCAAGGGTAGCTTCATGGGCCCTTGATATGGTCCCTTACAGGTTTTGAGAAGTATGGGCCCCTTGGCTTGAAGAGGGTATTTAAGGGGTAGATACGTCTGAGGGTATTTGAGCGGTATAGAAGGGGTATATAAGTCTGAGGGCATTTGAGGGTATAGAAGGGGTAGATACGTCTGAGGGTACTTTAAGGGGTATATAAGGGGTATATACGTCTGAGGGTATTTGAGGGGTATATAAGGGGTATATAAGTCTGAGGGTATATAAGGGGTATTTAAGTCTGAGGGTATTGAGGGGTATATAAGTCGCCTGAAAGAGGTTCCTGCATAGGCGCTTTTTTGCGCCCAAGTATATCGCAGAATATACGTGTCCCTAAACCCTAAACCGTAAACCGTATACTTATATATACATATATGCATATATACATTTCAGAAAAAGGTGCAGTGAGCCTAAGGCCTGCACGAAGACAACGACGCTTGGCAACCTCGAGCTTGTCAAGGGGGACCTCCCCCCTCTCCTTTGGGTTCAGGGTTTAGGGGTTCGGGTTCAGGGTTTAGGGTTTTGAGATTGCGCAC